CTAAGCCGCTTTACCACTGTGACTGACCTGATTACAGTTTGCCTACAATGCAGGAGGTACCAAATGTTGCCCAAGGTATTTAGAAACAAACAAAACCCTTGTCCCAGCAGAGAGTTTGCCCCAAGAAAGGAAGGCAGGTGAGAGATTCCAGGAAGTCTATGAGGGCCTTCCCTATTTCGCTTATTCTCAAGTGATGAGCAGCAAGATAAGAAAGCAAGCAAGCAAGAAAGGAAGAGAAGCACAGAGGGAATTTTTAGAAGGGGAGGATGAACCTATGGAACTCACTGCCATAAGATATTACTGATGCCAGCAGCTTAATAGGAGTCCAAGAAGGGATTTGACTTCCATGAAAACATCCAGAGATACATTGAAATGTTGCAGAAGGAATATAGGACACATGCCAGCCAGCAACTGTTGAGGTTTAGAAATTGTCTTTGCCTGTAGAAGCCACTAGATCATACATGCTCACTACAGGGGCATCTTCCAGCTTCTCTGAAGCATCTAATACTGGCCATTGCCAGAGGCAAGAGATGGCAGTGGATGGACCAATGTGGGATGGGCCATGCTGGCGTGCCGAATGCAAGCAGTGGCACGGTGACAAACTGGTGTAGCGTTGCACTGCTGTACTGGTAATGAAATGAAGCGTAGTGTTGGCCATGTGTCTGGCACTGCACAAAGCTGTGCCTGGGAGCAAGATATTGTAGGAGGGAGCCAGAGGGAGCTGTAGCAGGCCGAACCGGCTCAGGGAGGGCTGGCAGCCAGAAAGCAGGTGGCCTGCCAGTAAACAGACAAACTTGTAGCCAGCTGCCAACAGTAAGATGCACAGAGGGCTGACACCTGGGTGGCTCAGGGGTCGAGAGCTGCAAATAGCTCTGCTAAGCAGCAGGAAGAAAAGGCAGGCTGGTTGTTAGGGGCCCAAGCTGTAGGTGCCCGAGGGGCATGAGGGTGCTTTGAGCCCTGCCAAGGGCCGGGTTCAAGGCAAACACAGGCAGAGGCCAAGAGGGGCAAAGCCTAAGTGGGAGAGACAGGAGAGCAGCCTGAAGCCATGAAAGCTAGGGCCAGAGCCCGACAGAGGCAGAAAGCAAGGCCAGAGGAGAGGTCCCCAGCCTGAGAAATGCAGAGACCAGGGCCAGGAACCCCTAGGCAGCCAAGAATGAAAATCATGGGGCCAAAAGAAGCACAAATAAGACAGAGCGTAACTGCATGGCTCAGAGAGGCAGGCGATGCCCTGGAAGGGAAAAAGCCCTAGATTCAGGGCCCTGCTTTCAAGGCTGCTCATCCATTTTAATCAAAGACCTTTTAAAGCCAACAGTGTCACAGACACTGGCATATATCCAGAGTCCTGCCACTGAAAGTCATGGTGCTATTCTAGATTGCACTTGAACAACAAGGGCCAGGATCTGGCCCAACAAAGTTGCGTGAGTGCAAATGGAAGGGGACGCCGGCCTGTACTGCACAGGGTGAACTGATCACTCTCCTGTGTAAGCGGTGTGAGTGCTGAGAGGCATCACAAGAAATCATAGTGAGATTTTTGGGAGGGATTTGACAGTGCAAAGAGCCAGCAGGTGTCCTGTGCTAGTGACCGAGGGCTGACGAACACCGAGTAGAATACACAGATGGGTTTTTTTTCCCTGAGACCTTAAGTTTTGCTCCTACAGATCCACCAGATTTTCTGTTCCTGTCTTCAGATGCAGATACACTCTTGTTCTTATCAGGGATTCTGGGTCATGTCTTCCAAAACACCTTTCCTATATGAAGAGCTCCTGCAATAAGGGCAGGGAGTTCAGCTTCAATAATATTTTGCAGTGTAATGGCATGAGAGATTTGCTTTGCAGTATACTAGTCAGCCTACCAATTTCTGTTCTCTGTATAGGACCTCATGTAGTGTGTGGTCCTTGGTGAACAAAGATGGCATTGCTGGAACTGAATCTACGTGAAACTCTGCTTTCCTGTGTCTGTATGGTAGCTTTTTTCTTTAATATATGCTTCTTGTTTCAGATGGCCTGTGATTCCATATATTATGCTATAAGAAGTGGTTTATAGTCTTCTATCCACATGAATCTCTAAAAGGGTTTTACTTACAAGCAACTGAAATGAAAAGTGTTCCGGTGTCATTGATACAAAATTAATACTGTGCCTACAACTGAGTAAATCTTGACTGTTATAACAAATTATTAATGATTTAAAGAATGAGACGACAGATTGCTATTTACTTAATATGAGAAAATAAAGCAATTTTATTCAAATTACTGGGTCCTAATCAAGATTGGAAAATGGCATTATAAATGGGCCAGCTTTAGCAAGATATATTTCTTCATTCAACACATGTCAAAGAAACAACAGAAATTTCTACTCTTTTATCGATTGGCCTAGAAGGGAACAATGAATAGATTTATATTTAATTCAGAAGTTCAAGTAGCTCAACTGTTTCTTCAACAATAAAATATCCCTGATATGCAAAATGAACGTAAGTTGTATTCACAATATATAGAATGTACAGTAACACAATTGTAACATTAAAGGTAAGGTGAAATGACTTTTCTTTAAATGATTAGCAGTATTACTTCTCGTGTTTATCACAACAGAGCCCCAAGGTTGGGTTCAGGATCCTATTGCGGTAGGAGCTGTACACATACATAAAAGCTGCTGGTCAAATCAACTACCATGTGTTCATAGATTATGTGCATTGCCTGAAAATCACAAGTACACCAAGGTGCTCAACCTGTCTTCCTTATCCAGAAATCCCACACAGATCCTCAAGGTACATAGATAAGGTCCATTGTCCCCAGCTATAACTGTGCTTTAACACAACATCAATGCTTTTTTTGAGCCTGCCCAGACCTGAGCTTAAACCTCTTTCCAGCATTCCCCCGCAAAAATGAACCACTTGAGCTAGAAAAAAAGTCTGTGGATTACCACATCCTAAATGCTCTCTAGACAATACAGAGCCAAATCTGCAGCTGGGGTAAATCCAATGGATGTTGGTGGAGTTGTAAGACTTGCACCAATGGAGGGTCTGCTTCAACAGCAACCGAGTCTTTGGGAAGGGATTCGGGGTCTCTGAAAAGCCAAGCAAATTACAGCAGTGGATTTGCCACTATGAAAGAAGGATTTTTTTCCCCACTTCCCCTTGCCAACAATGCCCAGTCATTACCACCACTAAACAATGCAAAGGGCTCTCATGTCCTTTGAAACCAAAGACTGAGTCTCCAAATGCCATTGGAAATTACAAGCTTGGGAGGGTAGCAACTCAGCACACTTTGGGGAACATTTGAGAGCTGTTGAGCAGGGGATTAAGTGGGCTTTATGCATTCAGGCAAGACGGAGTGTGCATTGTTGTGTCAGAAACACAGCCTTGGGTGTGTGTGGTGTGAGGCAAGGGGCCAAAGGCTGAGTGCTTAAATTTACCCACATGAGAAATGTGATTTAGGCAGAACAAAGCCTGCTCCTGTTGTGCCTCATTGTGATTATAAAATGGATCTGTGCTGTTGTTATAAATAGAAAATGACTGGTGACAAAGGCGCTGGTTTGAATCACTTCAGCGTCCGTGCTCTTATGCTGTGGTTACTGATGTCAGACCAATTTAGTGGCTGTACAGCCCGCAAATGAGTCTGACTCACTACTAGCCAGTCCACATCGCATGATTTCTTAATCCCATTTTATAATGTGCTGCAGGGGCAGCGGCTTACTCTAGCCTCCAATGAGAAGTACTGTAAAGAGGCAAGAATTTCTTAGGATGATATCTTTCATTAGACCAGCTATGTAGTTGGGATAAAGGTAGATGAGCTTTTGAATGCAAGACATTACCTGGTTACCTGACCAAGAATGTCTTGCATTCAAAAACATAGTTGTTCCAATAAAAGATAACACTCTAAGAAATGATTGCCTCTCACATCATTTCTGGACTATCATGGCTACACCATTCTTAAACTAACAAGTTCTGTAAACTCATCCAAGAGCAAGGTAGCCTACCTTCAAGAAATCATGATGCAGCTGCTTGCATCTGTAATAGGCCCAACTCAAATTGCTGAAAAGTATTTTGGTTACTAAAGCTCCCATTTATATCCATGGCAAAAAGATCATGACTACAACTAAGACCTGGTGTGATTATCAGTCCATAGGCTGTGGGTTATCTCAGTTGATTGTTCACAGTCATTTATGGATTTAGAAATGACATAGGAGAAGAACTGTATAATTACAGTACCTTCTATCCAAAGGTGTCAAGGCACTTGCAACATTGATGAATTAAACTTCCAACCATTACTATTAAATTGGGTAAACATTATACCTAGCCTGCAGATTAGTAAAATAAGCTCAGGAGATTGATTCTGATGCCCTTACTGAGCAAAACTTTTTCCCATTAATAGTCTCATTAAGGGTTAAAGATTCATAGACAAATATACCACCAGCCTGAGTCCATTTGCCTTTGCAGGAGAAGCAACTTGCCGAAGATCACAGAGCAACTTATCTCACGAGAGATCCCCAATGGCCCTGTCCTAATAATTGGACTAAACTCCCTCCCAAAATATATGCTCGTACAATCATAGAAAAATAGGGTTAGAAGGAGGTCATCTAGTCCAACCTCTGCTCAAGGCAGGAGCATCTTTGGGCAAACCATTCATTCCAGCCAAATGTCTAATCTGTTGTTAAAAACTTCCAAGACTGGAGAGTCCACAATCTCTTTAGGGAACATGTTCCAATGCTTAACTGCCCTCATACTGAGCAAGTTTTTCCAACCTAATTTCCAACCTAAATCCAACCTAAATTTCTCTTGATGCAATTTAAGTGAATGTCATCCTCAATCTCCTGCTCAAATTGAAAACTCCCTACTAAATGATCTATTCAGAATCACATGCCTTGCCTTTTGATTTTGATGCACCACAGGTAACATAAAAAAAAAGTCTCCAAAAATTGTGGATAAACTATATTTTCTAAAAGCCTGGGAGTATTTTTTAACAAAGCTATTAATAAAGAAGATAGAGAAATGTACTCTCTTTAAGTGTTATTTATTTATTCCTTATTTCCAAACAACAGTAGTTAATTTAGTGCAATAAAAAGAGATTAATTTGGTGCCAGCAGTCATCTCACAAAATATTTATAGATCTAGAGGGAGGGTTTAGGAACAACTGACACAATCCTGTTGCAGTGCAGTGGATAGATGGATTTGACCCACTTCCAACTCAAACGATTCTTTGGGAAATAAAGGATGTTCACTGGGGCTACGTGTCTACAACATGAACTCCTTTTAGGGCTCCCTGTAGTACCCATTAGCAATACCCAAGTTTTACTATTTTAATTTAATTTAATTTCTGCCAACAAATTCAATCCTGTGGTGAGAACTGACAGTGTTACGTTGAGAACCATTAAAGCACATTTGGAGTTTCATTCAATTAAAAAAATAATCACCCTATTTGAGGGGAGGTTTCAGCCAGTTCAGGGTAAGAGTGAAGCCAACACAATGAAGGCATAGTTATGCTATGGGACACCATCAAGGAATGTGGGAAGACACTTGTAGGCCAGTGATTCTCAAATTTTATGATTGCACCTCTTTCTCCTCTTATATGCCAGCAGATGCAACACAAGTGGAGTGTCATAATTTCTTACTGACAGTGGCCAACAGTCAGTTACAACCTGGAAATAGCATGGAGGCAAGGAAACCACTGTGACTCAGAGAAGAGTCTGTGCCGTTGTGTCATCTGGGACTACTTCTGGAAAGACCAGCCATCAAGTGGCTCAGTTCTGTGCTGACAGTTCTAATCTAGACCCTATAATATAGTATCCTTGGTTAAAATGTTTCTAGGATCCCAAGTTAAGTGTTACATATCCTTACATGGATTTCATAAAGAGGCTTTAATACTAAAATTTCCCCCAAATTACTAGCTTCTCCAATTACTCAATAAGTCTAAGCTTCAGTTCTTCCCTGCCTCCTCTGGCATTGTAAGATGTTAGCATTAATGAAGAGATGAAAGACACAGCAAAAGACAAAAATCTTGGAAAAATATTTCTTAAATCAAAACCAAAAGGAACAATTATTATGCTGAGTGGAATAATAAATACATTCAAATTTACCCGTGCCTAAAATATAGATATATAAAATGGAGGGGAGGATTTGTTTATGTTGCTTTAAAAGTTAAGTGTATACTAAAATGTGAAACTTTCCATCAACTCCTGGAGTTTGTATGACTGTGAAATTTCTCTCTGGCTAGTTTTTCAACCATTTCATTGCTATGCACCAAAATATCTACCTTAGCAGGAAAGTGGCAACATAGACATCCATTTTGCTTCTCACTTTCACTGCATGGTTTAGAAAAGAGTTGTTGAGATCTCTGGTCTTTGAACAAATGCATAGTATTAGATTAATATCTGGAATCAGGAGGTGGTGCTCTAAAATGTGGTTTCTCATCTTTTCCACATTATGGCTCCCCTGGAACTTCTGTCTGGGATCTAGCCATGATCTCTATGCTATCTAATGATATGGAAAGGCAGGATGGCCCTGACCACCACCTGTAGTTAAAAGCCCTGGTCTTTTGTATCTCTAATGCTTATGTACCTGTTTCTGTTGGGTTTTGTTGTAGGTATAGAGACTAAAGAAGGAGAAGAAAAAAAAATCAGGAATTGGAGTGGAATAGGAAGAGAAAGAGAGAGAAAAGCATAAGGGATTAATACATGTCTTACTGAAACAGACACCATGCAAAAATCATGGTCTGCCTCACTTTTAGGAACACATTGTGCTGCTTTCATCTGCTTAGTCCCTTTACCCGACTCCCTTGTAATGTGTACCTGATATTTTTCCCTGCCAGTTACCTTTAAACTGACTGAAACACAGAACAACACTGACATCCCATAAGTGCATAGATAGCAATACATACCATGAGATTGGCATTCTCAGAGAAAACAATAACCTCTGAAAATTTCCTTTCCTTGGAAAGGACAAGTGTTTGTCATGATTCCAAATATAAGCATCCTAGAATCACATACTCTCTAGTTTTCTCACCTTTTCAGCTAAGGCGACTTTTTGGCAACTCACATATCCTAACAGAAAGAAAGAGTGTTACTAATGTATGAGTTTGCCCAAAAGGCCAACATTAATATTAATGAAAGAGGATTCAATATTGGTTCCAATATGAATGGAGTGTTGGACTGAGTGAACCGGTATCTTTGAAAAAAATATCTAAGAAATGTTTGGAAGAAATGGACATCTTTACAGACATTTGGTCTGCATTTCTGAAATGTAGATGATTAAATCCATATTGTTGGCGTCTTCCCCTTCTGCACTATGTCTTTCTTTACATCTTGAAAGAAATTTATGAACAAAGTTATTGTAAATCTGTACTGTCTGTCTTGTCACTTAGATTCTTTTCAGAAATGCTGCTTTGCCAATGTAGATAAACAACCTTCTGCATGATTAACATTTACTACTTGCAATTCTAAATACAATGGAAGGGCACAAAAATACCCAGCATAGAAGAGTCCTGGAGCTCTTTGAAATCTTACTGGTGATGGGAAAAAGAAGCTCATTTAATATCTTGGGTCCAGAGAGCTGGACTGGAAATTACAGAAAAATAATTTTCTGTGCAAGATACCAAGCGCTGCCTACTTTTGGCCATGGCTAAAGGCAAGAAGTACAAAGGCGAGCAAATGTGACATCTGAAAATCTGACTTTGAATTTCAAACCATACAAATTTCAAGGAGTTTCTGAATCCACCCAGAAACTTAGGTCAGTCCAGTATAGTAAGGGAGAAGGTACAACATTCAAGATCCAGGCTTGGATTTCTATACTAAATTTGAGGTAGAGTAGGTCAAAATATAGATATTTTTCCTGGTGAAACTTTTGCTAAAAGCATTATTTCATTTTCATCATTCTTTTTAATTTTTCAGGGTGCTGTTGAAAAAAAATCTCTAAAATACTCAGTGTTTCACTTACAAAAGAAATAGAGGTTTGGGGATTTTCAGTTTTTATACTGAAATCCCCCAAATTTTCAATGAAAATGCAGATTATTTAATCAAACTGTCCATTGCATTGAAAATCCACATTTTGTTGGGAGTAAAATAATTCTGGCAAAAGAATTTAGGATTTCTACAGTTCTGACAAGAATTTTGTTCAGAACTAAAAATGCGTAGTTTTCTTTAGACTGCGTTGTAGGGAAAATGTAAAGAATCTGTATTAGAATATTACAGAACCTTTCAAGGTTTTATTCAAGTTTGGTTCAAGAAACTGAGGACAGCAGATATTAGCATCAGTCCTGAACTGCTTCATCTACCTTCCCCAAGACCCACTGTCTCTACACATTTCATAAAGGAGCCAAGTGAAATATGCCCAGAGCAGCAGGCTGCATCTGCCTCCTACTTTTTTTTATTCACAGTTCACACAGTTCTGATTAGACAAAGCTTCTAATTGAAATATAAACCTGGGAAATGATGATGGAGAAAAACACAGTCTCCATTGATCAGAGCTCTGCCTGCCAAGGCATGCTGGAAAAAAATCCAAACCAGCCATTAGTCAGACATCAGGAAAGCACTGCTCATTACAAAATAATTTGCAAGCCCTGGTTATAACACATTCTTACAGTAAGAATCAGCCCAGCCCATAGGCTGAATGAAAAAAGAGACAGAAAGAAAAGACCAAATCAAACAAAATAAACAAACAATCAAATATCTATTTAAAATACAAATAATTCCAATCTGATGAAGAAAAGAGTTTAACAAGCCATATGTGCTTGTTCAGTCTCTTCTAATCTCATTGGATTTTCCTGGCTGTTACTCATGCTCTCTGAGCCAGTTGATTTCTCAGCAATATTTTGAAGTGTGTGAGTCTCTGCCCTCCAGTCTCGCCTTTGTTTAAAAAGCCCATATCGAGGGAAGACCAGGGAGTTCGTGGACTTTCAACTAAGCTTTTGGAAAGTTCAGAACAAACTGATTGCCATGGGCAAAATGCTAGTCAGCTACAAAATGTCCTTGCAATCAGTGGCCAATATTCTGCTCCCTGTTGGGCTGGTGTGAAAACAGAATAACTCCACCAACATCCATGGAATTACTCCAGATCTACACCAGTGTACTAGAGCCAAATCTGAACTTGTCAGTAATCTCCAGTCCAGTTCTTTCTAACTGTAAACCAGCGCTAGAGTTTCTTACTGTAAGCCCTTCCTTCATGTAAAGGTTTGCTAGTCCCAAGCAGGAGCAGGGGTCTGACCAGGACTGGAGCCAATGAGTACTTGAGGTCAACTTATTTTATCTTTAAAAAACTGCAACTCCTTCCAAATCGATAGATCTGGATTGAAAGTCTTGTCTTTAATATGTGCATACACTTAGCCTTTTCTGTCCTGTACAAAAGAATAGCTACCCTTAATTTCTTAAAGAGATACACCAGTAAAGTTCAGCACAAAGCAGATTGCGGCATGCAGAGCTGCCCACAGCACAAAATAGCCAGTTGCCAAAAGCAGTCCAAGTGAGCAATCAGGAGGGTCATTAAATGGTAGCTATATGAAACACGGGAATGAGTAAAACCAAGCCACCATGCTTTTACGTGAGCTAGTATACTTGCCAACTTTCCAGTTAGGAATGGGAGTCTTCCTTTTTATGTGAGAGGCAAAAGTTTCTTACGACAGTATCTTTCAGAAGACTAATGATGTAGTTGGGATAGTCAGACAAGCTTTCAAATGCAAGACATTCTTCCTTGGGTCTTTTCTTTAGGGACTCCTTCCCAACTCATCCTAATGAATAGCTTCAAGCCACTCTGTTTTCTGTAATGGGAGAGGAAGGCTGGAGAGTGACCTAGCTGGAGCTTAAAAAGAAAGAAGGTATTTCTCTTCACTTGAGGCAACCAGTTTCTACTCTGCAGCCATGTCTCCATAACAACAAAGCTGGCAAATATACAGCGAAGATGCAACTGCCCAAAAGAATTCAGCCAACTGTGATGATTTCTGTGAGGATACAACTGAGTAATCTTATGGCCCCTATCAGTGCAGTGCCTGAGTCCCTCCACTGACTTGCACATCGAGTGGGCTTTTTTGGCATCAATGCTGTTCTTCCAAGGAATGTCCGCTCAATGTCTCATTCTATTTTCCTTTAAAAGTTCAAATTGAAGTATGCAAGTCAGATGCAAAGTAGCAAGTTGGACATATTCACTAATCCTTCCTCCACTACTGTCAAGTTAATAAATATCTTATAGACCCCTTAGCCCTGTTAAATAAGAAGCTGTATTGAAGGATGTTTTTCAATATAACTTCTCAGAGGGTTTTTCCCTTCATGCTCTCACACACATATTTCTCTTACCTCAAGGTCCCAACAGCAGTGATTTTTTTAAATAGATCACAACAGAAAAAGGTGCCCTTGGCACAAGCCAGGGAAGGACGAGTTCTGTACTTTCCAACTCCAGCTATTTGAAATTTCAGCTAAAATGGCTAGTTTTAAAGGCCCTAGTCAGACAAGTTAGGTGGCTGATATTCCCCTCCCCACCACCACCAAAAAAATAAAAGGACTATTTTCAAATACTGATTGCAAATGATAATACTCGCTCCAGATCTTAGGTTTGGATTTCAGAGGGTCTCCCCTAGCCTTGCACTGTGGTTGCCTTATGTTTTCTCAAGGGAGAGGCAGATTTATCCCTGACCAATTCACTTTAACAGCTGAAATCATGGGGATGCCAACCACATAGTGTAATGACAAATATATCCTAAGGCAACAAGGAAAGGAGTCTGTGAAATGGAGATCTGCAGGGACACTGAGCCTGTGCTGGTGTATACAGGTGTCAGTTAGGATTTGCTGAGCCGCTTGGCCACATCTGCATAGGCTTGTTCAATTTCTTTGTCCGCAGCACAGGTGTTGGTGAATTCATCCCTGGCGTAGGCATTCTTCAGGTACCGCCACAGTCCTGTCATCTCTGTTGGGAATTCATAGTTGCGATATTTCTTTGTGACAATCTAAAACAAAGACAAAAAAGAAAACCTGTTAGTGGTGTGTAGTGTCGTATTGTGTAACTGCTGTTATGCTTACTTTGTTTAGTTACATAACACAGGGGGAAGTAAGGGCATGGAGGCTCAGAGGCCTGTAAGAGAAGCCTTCAGGAGGTCGCCCAACCCATACAAAGACATGATCTGAGCTAAGCACAGTCTGATACAACTGTGTGGTAACCATAGCCAAATTCTGACCTTTTAACAGCAATCACTGTACTCAAAAACCCATTGGGCTGTACCATGTAATTTTCAGTTATTTTCCTTCATTCCTATCTACAATGCTTCTAAAAGCTGTGCTGCCAGAATGGTATCCTCAGATGAGTACAGGCTGATCATCTGACATTTTAGGAAGTGCACAGGGCTAACAGGATGATGTGAAGAAAGAGTAAAAGAATGTAATATGTATAGTCTCATCAAGCAATGATGGTGCTGGACATAACAAGGCATGGGAAGGATATATGCAAAAGGGAGGGAATAGTACTGTTCAGGACAGTACAGGGCACTGTGATTTAGATACCAAGATACTAAGTGCATTAGTAATCTCAGGGTCAGAGAACTAAGAATATTGGGATTAAGTAGAAAATTATGTACAGCGATATTTTCTTATCCTTGAGATATATTAGACTAAAATTCTCCCTTGAGAGAAGTGGTCAACACCCTACCACTAAAGACACGTATATCTTGATTCATGAAGACAAGTAAGCACTTGCCTAACTTTAAAAATGAAGTCAGTGGGACTAACTGGTTGTCTAGGCAATGAATGCCATTGACCTTCCAGGTTGTCTAGGCAATGAATATAAGAATATACCACAGAATGGCTTAGTTAATGGTGGGGGATGGGTTAGTTAATATATTGGATGCCTCTCCTCTCTAATAAAGTATAAACGTATCCCTGGGCACAAAAGGAGTTACACCCAATTGTACTATTCAGCTTCCCTCTCTTTTCTAAAGCACTTGGATAGGTTGCCATCCATCTGAGAATATTTAGGATAGCCCTGTTCCTAGACGGGACAGTAATTTATGTTTATACCAGTATCTCTGACATACTCCGAGCCAAATTCTGACCTAAGTTGCCGCAATGCAACCCTTCAGCCCTCAGTAATGTTTTATGTGTGTACAGGGAAGGTAGAACATGTCCTTCCACTGAAGGCTGTGATTTGCAAAATGCCCAATACATCTTTTTATCAAATAATAAGGTCCTTTTGCAATTGGTTTCTACTTATGCCTTTAAAACACATCTAAGAGAACTGGCTGTGGCTGTTCACGTCTATCACAAATTTGTACCTCTCTTTGCAATGAGGAAAAATGAATTAGCTATGGGCCACACAAAGAAAATTTAAGCTAGGCTTTAACACTGAAAAATCTGGCCTTACTTCCATCAGTTAAGAGGAGCCAGAGAGAAAGCTAAAACAGTCAGACGATTATCACATTTCTTGGGCAGTAACTTATGTACCACATTTTGTATTTGCTTTTTTACAGTCAGCTCCCATGGCTTAGCTTATGTTTTGGCTTATAGAGCCAAACTAGATGCATGACTTGGATCTACTTTCAAGTTCTGTGGCTTGCCAAGGACTACCAGGTACTTGTTTTATTCTGAAGAAACATGTAATGTGATAAATAAATGGAGAATTTAGAAGACAGAATGATGTACATCCTTTACACTAATCCAGTGACCATTCTGCATCTTAAATCCTATAATAGAGTGCTAACTTTGATTTGTTAACTTTTCTGTGCAGAATAACAGCTGGAACATATACCCCAGAAATGGAGACCTGCTGTTCCTAGGTGATATATGGGTGTAAATACACTGAAGTTTTGACATCTCTTTTGAGAACAACAGGAACTAACTAATGATTGTGATGCCCTGTGTAAGGGCTTGGAGCAATATGATAATAGTAAAAACAAAATCAGGAAACTTAGGCTGGCTATACACATGCATGGAGGTGGGTGGGGGGAGCATTTTAATAAGTGTAGTTCCCAGGCAGCCACTCTAATTAAAACACCTCACCGTTATGTGTACTAAGCCCCATGTTTAAGAATGTACATGGGACTCTTTAGCTAAACCTCATTCAACGGGATTTAGTTTAAGTGCCCCTGCTGCCATTTTAAAATGCACAGGGGCTTAATACCTGGGATGCAGCAGCAATGCTACAGCATTACAATTAGAATGCAGATGTGTTCTAACCAGAAAGCCAACGAGCATGTGTATAGGCAGCCCTAGGTAGAACACGGCTCTGCCACTAACTCACTGTGTGACCATGAACATATCATAGATCATACAGAAGTAGGGCTGTAAGGGACCTCTGGAAGCCATCTAATCCAACCCCCTTCCTGAGGCAGGCTCATCTCTATCCAAGCCATCCCATATCACTTTAATCCCTCTAAGATTTCCCCATGTACAAAATGAGACTAATGGTCCTTATCCACAACAGTATACTGTTTTAAGATCTTTGTAGGCAGAGCCCTTCAAAGGGATTTAGAGTCCTAACTCAAGGGAAGTCATGTGCCTAAGTACCTTGGAGATTTGAGACTCAAGAGCTATATCCACAAAAGGACTTATGTATAGCAACACAAAACATTACGGTACCTAATGGAATCCACAACCCTGTACAATATGTAAGGGAGATTTAGGTGACTACATATGGGATCCATAAAATCAACATGTTGAACAAAGTGTTGCCTAAACTAGCCAATGAGAAATGCTGAGGACAGGGATGTGACTTTATCCCCAGTCCACTCTAGGATCAGACACTCATCTCCTATAGGGATTCACCCCAGTGAACACTGTTCCAGAGTTGGGCATGTACCCTGGCTCTTTCCCACAAAACATGGTCATTTAAAAAGAGGTGATAGTGCCCTCCCTTACCTGTAGTCCAGTGGTTACCAGACTCACCAAGCGTAAAGAAGGCCCAGGTATAATTTCTTCTTTTGCCTTAAAAGACTTGAACCTAACCACAAAGCCATTGGCAAAATAGGGACACCACCATCACCTTTCTCCAGCCAGGCTTTGTACAGGGCTTGAGCCTGTAGGTGCTTTTAGAATACCTATTGGACCAGGCCCAGCAGGAAAAATGCCATGAGAGGAAGAACACCTATTCTGTAGATCCTGACAGGGTTCAGTGTCTACCTCCTCAGGACTATCAAGACAGAGGACATGTCTACGAAGTGCAGGGTTGTGTCGAGATGTCCAAGCTGGCTCAAGTACTGGGAAAAGTTTAGCTATGGCACCATGGAACGTTACATAGGCCAATTTGCCCTGCTCCTCAGGAGGATAAATTAGCCTGGGTGCTGAATGCTGGCTCAAGTATCCCTACACTTGAAATCAATATGAGGTTAGATGCCTAATAGGCCTTAGGTATCTAAACACCTTTGTAGATATGAGCCTGAGATCTAATTTTAAGTTTTTATTTTCATGCCCACAATGTGCTGCCTTATCTCAAGTCTGCATACCATAGGCAGAATAATTTTTAAAAAAAACAACATTTATAACACGGTCTGTTGGAAAGCTAAAATCTGGCTAACAAGGTTTTGGAGCTGTCATGGTAGCTGGCTTTCAAATGTGCTTCCTAATGAAATAACCAAAAAGCCACAAAGCTTATACAACCACTACTTTATAAAACCAATATGCTGGAGTTGTGAGTTTAGCATGAGAAGACAGAAGCAGCTGCAAATAGCGGTACTATTTAGTGCAAAGACACCAACCCAAAAAAACTGAAAGGAAATAAAGTGGAAATGAGCAACAAGTGCACGAGATTAAAGGAAAAGCAAGTTAACCTGGACAACATCAGCTGTGCAAAACCCTTTGGTGGTTCCTAATAACTTGGCTGCCAGTCTGCCTAAAGCAGCATCTCTTCTGTCCTGCAAACCCTAACACCTTGGAAGGAAGAAAAACTTAAAGCTTATCATACTTGATGGAGGCTTTGCTATTGAGTTTAGAGGAAGAAAGACCAGATCCTTAAACTACACATACACCCAAATTCACAAAGTTTGTAGTAAATACAGGTAGACAGATTTTCAGAAAGGAAAGAGATGTCCTATCTATGAAGAGCCTGTTTCAAATTCTGTATGATTTGCTTTGTATATTTAGTCAAGACAGTAGGAACTTTTTAACTCTCCATTGATGAAGCTCATTTATATAGTGACAATGCTAGAGAACTGCTGTGGTAGCTCAGATGTGCAGACTGTTCTCAGACCACAGTTGTTTATGCATCAGATAGGGTCTTTTACCTTAACAACATGGAGCTTGGGCAGAAGGTTGCAGTCAGCAAGTGTTAGCTCATCCCCATCCAGAAACTTGCGCTTGGATACCTTCTCCTCTTGGGTTTTGTTTGCATCAATCTCTTCAGGCAGAGGGTTGCTCAGATAGTCATCCAGCTTCTTTAAAGCCTTTGTCAAACCCTTCTCAAGGGCTATGTAAAAAAAATATAAAAGGAGGGGAGGGGACAGAAGAAAAACACTTAGAAACATTCTAATCAACACTGTCTGGGAACTTACATAGAAGGCCAGGATCCTCGGCTGTTCTGCACCTGTTTTTGCTGTAATCTCCATGTTATCTAAGTGTAAAGCAGCCACATTTCCACTGGTACAGAAGTGATGTGGAAAGTTCTTATGCCACATTTCTTTCTTACTGCCCGTAGAGCAGCAAAAGGTACAAATGTAAGAAAGAAAAATGCTGTGGTCACTACGCTCATATGTCCAGATGATCCAAGGGTGTGTTCTCACTCCATTCTGGCCCTTGCATCCCAGTGTAAATTAAAACAGCTATAGACTGCTCTAATTGGGGTTTTTGGCCATGTGCAGAGAGTAGACCCTATCACATAGTTCTAACTGAATAAACAGTGAAGATGCTAATTAACTGGAACCCACAAATTCAGTAGCACTATTCTTGCCCAATAGCATTGCAATTCAATTGGTCTCTGCCCACCTCCAGATTATCAAAAATCAAACCCAGTTTTATACTTTAGGCCCATTTTCTGTTTCATATATATTAATCCAAGGTCATAGCAACAGCTCCAAAAATACCCCCTAAAGTTTTATAGTGACACGTTCTTCCTACACCAGCTTAGAAGGCACGTGATGATTGAAATGACAGCAATCTGACAATAATAATATATAATGCTATTCCAGACAGCCACCATATTCAGCCACCTTCAAGACATGCCCAATTTCAGAGATGAATTTGTGTCAAATTCTCCTTCCAATCAATTTCAAAGGGGTTGCCTAATGGAGAGGAGGCTTTAGTTCATTCACATTAATTCTTACTACAGTCCTGCCTTACCAAAAACTGCTATTGACTCCAGGAGGATTTCTGGGCTCAAAGCACTAAGAAGATATGACCTGTAACAAAACACTACATTTTCATGCAAAAATGTCAGTACAGTCACTAGATTTCTGTACCTACACTCTACCATCATGGCAATAAAAAGAAATACTGTACTGGTATTTTCCTGAGCCACCCAAAGCAGTGTATTTGCCCTGAGAAGCTATGTGCAAGATTGCAAGTTATTCTTTGCTTGCATACACTGCTAGGGCAAGGACCATCTTTTGGCTCTGTGTTTGGCCCAGGACATATGACCCTGCACACTAGAGTAATACAAGCCATGATAATGTACAGTGTGCAAAATAACCATGTAACTCTAAGGAAAGGGAGAGGAATCTCAGCTAGTGTAAACCGACAGAACCTCTACTGACTTGCATCACTAAGGATGTGGTCCTGAATCATTACCTGATTGGGGTCCAGACCTGCAAACTTGACATCTGTGAGTAATCAGATGCACTAGTAGTTCCATTTGATTCTGTGGGGTTAGTCAGTGAGTGAAGTTATTCACAGACATAAGGCTACAACGATTTCATAGTTTCATAGTTTCTAGGGTCGGAAGGGACCTGAGCAGATCATCGAGTCTGACCCCCTGCCATGGCAGGAAAGAGTACTGGGGTCAAGCGACCCCAACAAGGTGTACATCTAGCCTCCTCTTAAAGACCCCCAGGGTAGGAGCCAGCACCACTTCTCTTGGAAGTTGGTTCCAGATCCTAGCCGCCCTGACCATGAAGTAGTGCCTCCTGATGTCTAGCCTAACTCTACCCTCTGCCAGCTTATGACCGTTATTACTCCTGGTCGTGCTCGGGAAAACAGGGACTTCCCCAATGCCTGCTGGTCCCCTCTGACTAGTTTGTAACAGGCCACTAGATCCCCCCTCAGCCTTCTCTTGTGGAGGCTAAACAG